ATATATATATATATATATATATATGATGGAAAACTTCTTTTCTGACATTGATGTGGGGAGGTTTAAAAAAAAAGTCTTTATTTTTTTTTTAAATTCCAATTGTTAGATTTACATTGTCAACTTTTTTTTTTTTCAAGGCATGTCTTCCATTCTAATTTTAACCATTTTTAAAATGCAACTTTAAGACAACTAGATTTTTTTATATATTTATTATTAAATGGATTCTTTAAGGTAGTGCATAAAATAAGTTTATAAGTTACGTTAGTATACAATGATGATGGAACAAGAAGAAAAGATTTCAGAAAAGTTTAACTGACACAACTGTGGGTTTTCGCTTGATACAGCTATTAAAGAGTACTTCTTAGCTTCTCAAAAGAAATACCATCTATGTTTAGAATTGTAATAAGCAACAATATTCAGAGAATTGAAAACGATTACTTGAATACTTATTTTAGTGCATTTTACTTACAATTATTGCCATGTTATGCAAACAATAGTCAGTGCATTAAACAAAGTAGTCATAAATAATAAATTTAATACTGTTTTTATATTTACATTAGTGGTGAAATAATCATTGTAAGTAATGTGGTTAATTGAAATGAGTGCTATGTAATTTATTGCATTTAAAAATGCAATAAATTACACAGCACTTATTTTAATTAACCACATTACTGTTTAACAAGTAGTTTGTAATGTTTTTGCTATTTTAATAAAACATTACAAACTATTTGCTTGTGAAACATCTTTTACATTTGTAATATGTGAACCAACTCAATTGTAATATTTATTATTTAACATTTGATAAAGAAATAAATTTGAAAACATTTTTATTCAAAAATTTATTGAAATTGGTGAAAACAAATGAAAAATATTTAGAAAATCCATTATTTTTTTTTTTTTTTTTCAAAAATTTATTTATTACTTGTCATTGTCCATTTTATTTAAATTTTCTTGTTCAGACAGTTTGATAAATTTATGAATCAAAATTTTTTTTCATATTTATTTCTTTATATTATGGTAAGTAACATATTCCATTCACATATTTTTTTAATTTTTAAATGAAAATTATTCTTGTAAACTAATAGTGTTTAATATTTTTGGTTTTGTAAATTCCTGACAAAGAAATACACTAAATACACTTTCATATTTGGTTTTTATTAAAATATAGCTTTTTTTTAAAAGGATAAATACTGCAGAGAGAGAGTATAGAGTAGTAGTGGTGTTTTTTTTTTGTTTTTTGTTGTTTGTTTGATGATTAAAATTTACCAAAACCTTTCCTTTTCCTACTGGTTTTTAGTCTCTTGAACTAATATGGCTGATGCTAACCTCCAGGAAAGAGATTTGTTGTGCATTCTCAGGCTAACATCATCAGCTCACCTGATATGGAGAGATTATATTGAATCTGGTGGTAGAGCTGTGATGCTAAGAAAGTTGGTTCACTGTGTCATGATAGCCATTTTTTCTCTTAACTATTTATAAGTCTACCATTCATCCATGTTGTTAATATTGCTGCTATATATGGTCTGGTGCTCCTGCCATATATCTAGAGATTCTTGGTAAAACCCAATAAAATAAGCACTATTGTTGCTCCTGACCTGGCATCTCGGCTTCAGTGTCTTTCTCACTGCCATAATATAGCTTCCCTGAGCCTTTACTTTCAAGGTAATTGTTCAGATAAACTCTTCACTATGATACCTAGGCTTTGAGTTTAAGTGCAGTACTAGATTGGCAGCAAGGTCTCATTAATTTACAGTTGAATTGTGTAGATGTAACCATAAGTTCTATGCTAACAGTTTGTTTTTATCACACTTTTCACTTGTGGAACTCATTTCCAGTTCCATGCTTTCCAGCCAACTTTAATCTTCAAAAATTTAAATGCAATGTCTATCTACTGTCCTACCAACTACTTTTTTTTTTTTTTTTTTTTTTGTCTCTAATTCTTCCACATACAGTAATCCCTTGTGTCTTGGTGGCTTTACTGCCTTGCATGGGGTGAAATGAACATAAAAATAATTATGCATTGTGTTTTGTTTAACACAAGGTATGTTATATAGGAATAGTGTCACTGCCAACACTTGACTTTGAACATAGATTGCCAGTGAGCAAACTAAAGTTGTGACGTTTAATAGATTTTCCCCAATCTCTATACTATTTGGATCATTATTTCTCCTCTGTCCTCTATTACTATATGGACCACTATTCTCTACTCTATTCACTATACTATTTCTCTATTTGAATTACTATACACATTACTATTTGAGTGAGTATTATCGAGCATGTACTACTAGTGCAAAAAACAAAAAAACAAACTCCATTGTGACACCAGTATTGTTCAATGGTGTACTATAGTTGTATCTGCGATTACAAAGTCTCTACTACAATGAGTATTACAGAAAGTTATATTTGTTGGCATTATATATATATATATATATATATATATATATATATATATATATATATATATATATATATATAAAAAGAAGTGTTGCTGCCAACACTTACTTGAGTTTGAACATAGATCACCAGTGAGCAAACACAGGTGATTCCATTCTTGAACTAAGTAGACCATGTGACCATAGAGGAAATGCATATATGTAGGAAGTAGCTGATGACTAACGATCATTATTTCTATCCTATCCTCTATTACTATACAGACCACTATTCTCTTCTCTATACTATTTCTCTTTTTGGATCACTACACGGGTTACTATTCAAGCGAGTATTATCAAACCAGTGCTATTTGAAGGCATCTGACACTAGCATTGTTCAACGGCGTACTATAGTTGTATCTGCGATTACAAAGTCTCTACTACAATGAGTATTACAGAAAGTGACAATAAGCATTTGTTGACATCACAAAAGTGGCAACAAGTGTTCATTGACATTACGCAAAGGTCATAAATTACTAATGCTCCAGAGTGGTTAGATGGAGGTAGGAGATGATGCAGTCAACATCACTGGAAATGGGCATCTGGTGTAGAGTAAGTGTTAACAAATTAGCTTCATACATCACCGGTCATGAATTTGAACCTCTGAAAGGTCCAAGAGCTTTATAAGCTCGTGTGGGGGTGGAAGTAAGAGTATTCTTCAATTTTCCAATTTTTTTTTTTTATATATATCAATTCATGCTAGTGGTAACAATTCCCCCCCCCGCTCCCAGCAAGAAGTTCATATGATATTTATACCTCTACCTAGTTATTAGCTCCCTGCCTTCTTGATATATTAAGCATGGGTGAGTACTGTTTACAAATCACTGGTATAGCAGAAAGTAACTCCTTTTACTGACACAAGACTGCATGTGTGTTAACAACCCCATTCACCTCTTGTGGTCAGTGTTCTAGGAAAATGTTTTAATGACATTTCTTTAGCAATACAGAAAAAAAAAAATGTCCCATTTATACAAGAGGGTGAGTTTATATTTTTCTCTTCTTCTGTTTATCAGCAGTAACGCATCATTGCATATGATGGTAGAAACAAAATTTGGTTCCCCCCCCACCCCACCCGTAACTCACTACAGAAGACGGATATCTTCCCCTGATTTCTGTTAATGTTATTTGTTATAACCTTTGTGCTTTCTTCCTACTTATTTTTTTTTTTCTTTCTATCTTCACAGGATAAGTTGACTTGAATCGTTGTGGCCTTTTTGAATGGAAACCTAAGTTTGATATCTTACAGCAGAATGGAGATTCAAGGTCCTTTTTGTAAGAATTTTCAAAAGACAAGCAATGAATTGTTCTGACAAAGTTTAATTTTTTTTTTTTTTTTTAAACTGGTTTCTGGCCCTCCCTCTCTTAACCCAATTTATCCCAACAGCTATTCAGATAATCTCATATTTTTAATGTGGCCTATGCAGTTTTTTTGTTTACTCAAAATATTTATCAGTTTATTAGACAATTTAGTTTAAATGCAGTTAAAAAAGAAATTGTCCAAATTTCTGAGATGAAGAATTAGTGTTATTATATGCTTTGCGATTTGGTCCAAACATGCCCATCTTCGTTGTTATACTCACAATGTTTTGGCCATTGTAAGAGTTTCAAAAGATTCATAAGCCAAAAATAAATGATTTCAGAATTTAAAATATTATGAATTGTAATTTTGCATGTGTGAGTCCCAGTATAAATAATTATAAGAATTGACAGATTTTATCATTGATATTTTTGCATTATATCAAGCATTAATAATATACTAACCTAGGGTCCACAAATTGGAGGAGAGAGTTATCAATGATATTGTTCTGACTTTGAATCCATGGTATCTTTTTGAACTCCACTCTCTATTAATTTGAGGCCTGAGTAAATTTTCATTGTGAAAACATGGCCCATAGGAAAAAGTTTGGGGACCACTGTTTTTTGTGCATCATTTTTTTCACTGAAGTAGAGCAAGTAACTTTTCAGTGCTGCCATGGAATCATTTTTTTTTTTTTTTTTTTTTTAAATAAAACAAAATGATGTTTTTATTTTTTTTTTTTTAAATAAAACAAAATGATGTTTTTAAATCAAGATTTATTAAAGAGCAGCTGAGAAAAAATAGTTGACAATAAAAAAAAAAAGAAAAAAAACTTGAAAGATAAGCTTAAAAAAATAGACCAAATCTGTTACTTTACCTGAGAAGAAACAATGTTTTGAAATTAATGCTTTGTTTTCATTTCAACTTCAGCAAACTGCAATGACCTGTACCTGTTCTGGATATGTCATTTCTTAAGAAAATGTAACATTTTTGTACAAATTGAAATCAAGATTGCCCATTTTAGTTTATAACAAGTTGGCTGATTTGTTAAAAAAAACAAAACTCCATTGTGACAAAGAATTTTTTGGTAGCATTTTCTTTTAAAACATAACAGATGTACAGCTTGTTGAATTTCAGTAACATCATTCCCCACGTTTGCAATGAATATTGATGGAAACGGTTTATATTTTTCAGCTGATGGATCTTACCATTCTTTGTGACAGTTGGTAAGTATAAAATGGAATGAAAAAAAAGAAATTTAATTAAATAACTATTTACAATATTACACAAGAACTTAGAGTGTCTGAAGTGCCTGTAAAAGTTCCAGATTTTTCTTTGACCAGCTGTACTTTTGAGAGAACTGTGTTCTTGCGTGCTTTCTCCCACTCGGGCAAAGGTTTGGTCCAATCTTCTGGGGGTGAGCTTCTGTATTCCCAAATATCATTGGCCTGGGCATTTTTAATTCGAATCTGTCGTCTGTCTTTTTCATTGTCTAATATTTTTTGCTGAAGTGAAAAAAAAGATTTTATTTTTTTGTGCATAATAATCCCAGGTACTATTAACAGTATAAATGTATTCATATATACCATGATGAATAAAGGGAATTATAGTGAGTATGTTAAAAACACAGATTGTGTCAAACCATTTATGAAAAATAGGCCTTGAATTGTAAATTAAAAAAAAAAATTATGACATCCACCCCAGCTGCTCTGTATGAATGTAATGGATTCGACTGGAATTCAAACTCTACTCTTGGATTCCTCAATCCATTACTCCACCATACCTCCGACCTGTCCCAGTAGTGTGTGTGTGTGAGAGAGATAGATACCTATATAGACACAGACAGACCTACCTAATTATTGAGTGAGTTACTGTCTGCAGCCAAGAAAAAAGAGGGACAGGCTATACATAAGGAAAGTTATTGGCTGATGCTGAGGAAATGTATGTGTTCGGGGTGAGGGTCAAAGTGGGGAATAAAGTACTGCTACTGATGATGAGAGATAGATGCCTGGAGATACAGCCAAAATATTACTTTCAAGAAAACTGGTGAAGTGATAGTAACCAGATCAAAATGGCTGGTCCTTTTCATAATAGACTTAAACCCCTATGAGTTGCTATTTGACAAAATTGGGCATGACAAGGAACAGGGTAACCTAGAAATATATCAGGAAAGAGAAATATTTTAGATTACTGAACTCCATGGAGCTGGAAACAGCCGTGGAGAGGTGTGAAGGATTACAGGAAGCAGGTGCAGCTGTGACCGATGATGTGGGAGGTAGGAAAGGATCAGAGAGTCTTAGACCAGGTGGCGAGAGAAAGCGTATCTTAGAACTTACAGGAAATTAAAATTTGGGCTAGACCACACAGTGGTCTAGACCAAATGGCCAAATTTTAACCTAGCCTTTGGGAGATAGGTTTGATCAGGTGACCAAATGAAGACTCAGAATTTTTTTTTTTTTTCCATGACTTTTGAAATTCAACAAAGCAGTTATTTTCCTTTTTCAGATCACTAACGTTGAGGTCCTTGTCACCAGCATCAAAGCCATGTTATTGGAGTCACAACTGGGCTGGGCAGGGCCCGGCCCGGCCCGGCCCATCTCCAGAATGGGGGACTGCCATCTGCCCAAGATGGCCCCTGTATGTCATTCTCTCCACTGGCCACCATGACAGCATTATAAGGAGTCCCTCAGTACCTGCCACATTGGCTGCATCTCTCACCAGGACAACCTGAAGGAGAAATGCCACTCAGCAGCTAGACCAGACCTTTAATTGCAGTCACTGTGGCTGGAGGTGGCCATCAGCATTCCTGCAGTCAACGTGGGCAGCCTACTTCATAAATTTTCATTCAAAGCCAAGGAGAAGAACTAAAATAAGATTTATACTTACAAGAACATCTACTGAGCGTGTTTCTCTAAATTTAAAGCAGTTCTCAGAATCCTGTTTCCATTTACTGCAATCTAAATAGTTGCCGAATACATAATATTGTTGAAACCGACCTTTTGTACCTATAAAAAAAAAAAAAAAATTGAAAGTCACATGAGTATACTCTATATTCATGGTCACAAGAACAATATAAATTTACTCACATTAATTTTTATTAGACACTTTTGATTTCCAAAATCAACTTTGATGTTCAAAAAAAAATTTAAATGCCATGTCAGTTATCTCTTACTTTTTTTTTTTTTTCTCCACACTTTTGCTTTGAAATGATATATATGTATATTCAAGTAGCATATTCTCATTCAAACATAGAACTGGAAAGGATAAGTATAAAAATAAAATGTCTGAGTTTCTTGATGTTAAGATGAAATTCATCAAGGAAATCACCTTAGTCTTTTTTTCCCCTTCAATCTACTTCAAGATCATCCTTGGAAAAGCAGCCAACAATCAACAAAATTTATTATGAGTGTAGCAGCAGCAGTAACAACTTGAAGTGCATGTAACAAATATTTAATACATTTTTTTTCCAGTCTTATATTGGGATGGATACACACACACACACACACACACACACACAAAAAAAAAAAATTATTCACCATCACAACAAAATGCAAATTTTATCACAATAAGTTTGTCTTTGTAATTCACCCCCTGAAGATGATCTTTGAGGAGATCAAAAGTACTTGGATAGGAAAAAACTATGGCGCCTTCCTAGATGAATTTCATCTTAACATCAAGAAACTGATTAGAGAACTGGAAAAGATCATTATAAAATGTCTATATTTTATTCAATAAAAAACACAAACTTTTTTGGTATCTTTGTGCAACATGTAATTTTTTTCTTTTTTTTTTTTTTTTTAAATAGACATTTAAATCTCGTAGGCCATACATTGAAAGCTAGGTCAGGGATGGGCAAATTGTTTATGGCCTTCACTCTGCAGTTTTAACTTCTACTTACTAAACCAAAACATTTAATGTTCTTTTCATGTTGAGTGACATTAAGTGCTTAACTGCAGAAGAGAATTTCATTCAATCAATACAAGGGCATATGGAAAAGATTTTTAAATCTAGCCAATCAATTTTTTTTTTTTTCTTCAAAGGGCTTCTTGGTCAGGTTAACTTTACATCTGCCATCACTAATGGAAATTCAGTTCTATTTGTGCATTAAGGTATCAAAATGAGGTATTCTTTTGTTCAACAAATCAATGCCCAGAAAGTCTTCTTCCTCAATATAGTCAAATAAGTTATTATTCATGAAGAAGAGTTTTGAGAATATCTGTAAAAGTGATCAAAAAGATTACAATAATTAAATTGACCACCATGTTTAACAACGGAATCAGAGATCCTCATCCCAGTTATGGTCAGATAGATCTTTGCTAAAATTAAAAATCGGTTATTGTTCATTTTTATTTTTGCCTTGAAACTTCATCCATGCATAACAGGAATTTGAGATCATCAAAACCCTTTCTTGTTACCCTGCATGTATGCAAATTAACTTGTAACTTGAAAGAAACCAATTGGCTAAATTCCCATTCTACTACCCTTTGTCATTTTGTCAACTGAAATAATATCCCCAGTTTAAGAGTTTTCATTTGCAGACCAATCAACTAGTGAAGGAGTCTGATTCAACATCAGCCTGAGAACAAAGTTCCCTGTTTGAACTGTAATACAGGATATTGATATGGTTGTTGCAAGTTACATAGGAATTGGGAAGAGTTAATCGGATAAATGAAACCCTTTACAAATAAATTCTACATTATTATTTCTCCCTGTAAGCAGAAAAAGATGCTTCCTCCTTTACTTTTATAACATGCCCACCTTACACACTTGACCAACTTTACCTAAACATCCTTGGATCGAAAACATAAACACAATGTGGGGGGGATATTGGCTAATAGAGTGAGATGCCTAGGCCTCTTGAGAGTCAATGGGGTGGGGCATTCAAATATAAAACAGGTCAAATGGGAGAATTAAACCACAAAATAATTGCCTCTTTTGGTTTCTTTGTTTTGTTCAATGGCATAGCAAATCCTAGTGAGTTATCTTAATACCAAAGCAAATAGGGGTTGAGATTTTATATTTGTGCATGCACATGGGGGGGGGGCTCTTCCCCCCTTTAGTAGAGTATGTGTGCATGTTAGATGTGTGTCCTATATAGAACCTGGTCACATATTTTTCTATTTCATAAAATGGTAATACAAACTTACATATGCAAAAGAAAGCTTGTGTAAGACTTAATATTTTAGACAAAAGAAAACTAGAAATTTGTTTCAGAAAATACTAAATAGTTTCAATGAAAAGAAAAATTTCTTACTTGTGCATTCTTTGTATTCATCATGATATATTTCACAAGGTCGAAGCTGAATAAATAAAATGGAAAAAATACATTAGTGATTTTATATACACACACACAAAATAAATAATTCTTTTCCATTCTATGTAGTGCTTGCTTGATATATCATCTTAGTCCTTGAGGCTTTGTGTATCAAATTCTACCCGCCAAGCCTATACAAACAAAAGGAGCATTTTATATGTTCATTACAGTTGACTGAAGGTCAAAATTTGCTGTCTCCCTGCAAGAACAATAATTCGAAACAACCTACATCTACAAATTGGACAATAAAAGAAGACTTAAGAATTCTTCAGTTGAAAACCACCCTGTGATTTTTTGGAGCTTATTAATATCTCTTGATTGTGCTTGTATATTGCCAAGTAATACTTTTTGAAAAAGCATTGGTCAAAAGGATCCTGAAAGTATTAAAAAAAAAAAAAATTTTTTGTTCAAATCTATATTTTATTTCTGTGGGTACAAGTCCTTTGTTTGTAACACTATTTGGGCAGCTGGTAATTAATAATAATGATAATAATGGAGACTTGGAATATCAATGAAATCGAGATAATGGTCAATAACTTAGCATGAAAATGGTTAAAAAAAAATATAAAGAACTATAGACTGATAATAAATGATTCCCAGAGAATCGACATTTATACGATAGACCAGATGACTGGCTAAAAGCAATGCTCAGTTTATGCAAACAGGTCAAGTGTTGACAGTCTTCAGCAAACAATGCCTGGATCTGACATGAGAAGATGCTATATGTCGGAATGGTAAACAATAAATTAAACAGGCAGAATGATTACCTTTGACTGAATGAATTGTCACCATAATGGGAGTTTCAAATATTTCCCTGGGAAAGTCTCTTGGGTCAAAGGCGAGAAAACCAACTGTTGTGTCAATTCACTTCTGAGATAATCGCATTTGAAACCATAACTTTTTTTTTTTTTTTTTGTTAATTAATCTTTGACAATGCTGGAGGTGACAGGTGTAGAAGAGCAATCAAGGAAGGATGAGGGGCTGTACACACCCACTGAAAAGCACTGGTGGGAAATGGTAATAAAAGTAGAAGTAACCAGGTGGAGCAATGCCTACAACCATCTCCAATGAGAGAAGAAGAATTCCCCAAAATTATGAATTAATTTAATTTCTCAAGATCGAAAATGATAGACTTTGGTTGGAAATCAGGGGATTCACTGAAACCCAAGCTACATCTTACCCCACAACAGTTTCTAGTTGGAGTCCATAAAAATGAATGTACAAAAGCCATTCAGACAGCTGCAAGTTGAAAGTAGACAGTTGAGAGCTGAGAAGGGAAGTGACAGAGGTCACTAAGAGATTCTACAACTCCTGCCAAACACAAGAATCTCAGACTTCAGCCAAACTTACCAAATCAGTAAAACAAATTTTGCTAACTCTGCAAACCAAAACTTACCAGCTTACCCAAGTGTGGCATCCTATTTAGGAATGGGTTGGGTCAATAAACACCTGTATGTGAACACAGCTACTAATAAATCATTGTATGCAGTATTGATATAAAAATAAGAATTATTTTTTTTTTACATATATTTAGAGTGCTGTTTTTACTCTAGTTTTATTGCATGACTTGAACCAGCCCAACATGAAGATACCTGTGACAAATCGATCTTGGCCTCCTTATAATCAAATCAATCACAACATGGGGTAAGGCAGGCCATCATCGAAGAGTTCACTCCGTTGATCAAACCAGGAACTGCTCCAGGCTGACCACCATGAAAGGTTACATTTGTTGCTGTTTGTCGTGAACCAGGATAGACCCTGAAGTGTGTGTGTATATATATATATATATATATATATATATAGTGAGAGAGGGGAAGGGCTTATTTTCCAGAAAAAACTGAATGACCTACTTGAAATAGAATTTCCTTTTCAAAATCATGATTTCTTATTTCTAACAATTAGATTTGCCAGCTGCCATTTTTATTTGTTAGTATGTTCACTTTTCCTAAATTACTGGACACTAAAGGGAAAAAAGTTGGTAATGTTTTAATATATCCCCCTTACCTACTGTCTCTCTTCAGTTTACAATATTTAGAATCCAAGTTTTACAAAGTTTGCTTGATTTAATAAAAAGCAAGTGGCAGACAAAACAAAAACATTGTCTTTTTGTTTTAATATATATGGTGATGGGGGTGTAGTTTGTCATTTCAGAAGCCAAATTTTACAAATTAAAATTTTTTTCAAAAAGTCTATTTTCTTATTATAATAACATTTATATATTGTTACTTTCCCACTAAGAATTATAATAAAGCAAAAATGAAATTCTATACTGTAAACAGAAAAGAATGGAATTAAGGAAAATTTGAAACTGAAAATTGGTCTCTTTATATATTAGCTTTGGCCAGAAAATCCTAACCCACTTAGGAAGCAGAAAGTGAAACAAAATTTTATGGAGCAATGCCAACATTTATTCTTCAAAATAAATTCTATCATTCTTGACAATCTTTTGCCAATGATCAGTCAGCATCCAAATCTGTCCCAGATACCAACCTGCTGGCTTTGAATAAAAAAAAAACAAACAAAAACTGATAAGCTTCCTTCACTTCATCAAAAGTGTTGAATCACTGGTCACATAGGAAGTGCGCCATCAAGTGGAATAGGCCATAGCCACTCGGAGCAGCATCAGGACTGAATGGTGAATGTGGAAGTATCTCAACACACTTCATCTGTTTGAATTTCTTCTTAGTCAACATGGCAGGGTGTGGCCCACATTGCCTTGTTAAAATATACTTCTTCAGGAAGCTGCCACCATGCCTATTGTCCAGTTCAAACTCCTCCTTGGTCTTTCGAACAAGAGTAGAGATTTATACCTTGTCTCCTGTTTTGGTTCCTTCTAAAGTCTTCTCATTCTCTTTCACTCTCAGTAACTCCTTGCATCTCAGTGGCCCTATTACCTTTCTTGGAGAGACTTGATTATCATTCCCCAACAAATACCTAAACTTCTTCAGGGAACATATCGCATCTTGTAAAAACAAAAACATAACATTAATGCAAATATCAAGTACACCATCAGTCTCAGGATAACTATGGTGTCTACTTGGATAACTAGCTAATCCCTTCTGCAGATACCTGTTCAGGTACAATTGTTTCTTTAACGGCCACAGAGCCAATGTAAGCTTTATACTGTAATTGTGCTAGACAGAGATCTTAGTTTCTAGGAGAGGATACATGTTGTGGCATGATCAGTAGTTAAACAAAGCTAGTACACTAAAATCTTGGTCACAATGACTTGTAACTTTGTGCTAGCACACCTATCAAAAGTTTCCAAACAGTTACATTTACCCAATTTCACTCACAAGACAAGTTCCACCCCGGTATAATTTTTCAGCACTTCCCAACTGTGATCATCTCCCCAAGCTGATATTATCAAGAAGTTACCTCCTTGACAAACTGACCCTGGTGAGATTTGAACCCAGGTCTCATAGTTAGAGCACAAATATTGTAATACCTCAGTCATGTGTCCATTATCATTGTTAGACTCCATCAGCAAGAAATCTCATTACATATGAATGAGAAGCATTAGCAATCCCTTTTAGCTTAACTATTTTCTTAGCCCTTGTTAACAAGAATTAACATGTAACACCTTTGTTCCAGAATGTTTAGGTTGGCCCAAAATGGTAAAACCTACAATAATGGTCAGAACTCCGATGACTTCAACTGAGTGGGCATGGATTAAATTGAAGGGTATGGAACTTTGACAGTGATAGATTGTTTAAATTTTAATGACAGACTAAAAATATGCAAAGACAGTACAGCTGTAAGAATAGAAGAGGGAAGTTTTGCTGCTTCCAGATTTCACACACATATTTTATATAGATACCCGCTACAACCAATTATTTCCCAGATACCAACACCTATCTACGAACTATCAAAATTCTTAAACGACATCATCACTTCATACCTACCTACCAATTACAGCATCACATCCACCCACAAATTCCTGCAAATTTTAAAAACTACAAAAAAAAAAAAAAAAAAAACAAACCACCAAGCAACCAAGGTATAATAGCGTCACTTGACATCGAAAACTTATTTACAAACGTCCATGTCGACCAAACTGTTGACATTGTCCTCAATTCTGTATATACTAATAATTCCATCCCTCCGCCATCCATCAAATCATCCATCCTAAAAATAATTACTACACGCATGCACAACCAAAGTTCCATTCTATGACCATAATGGCAATATTTACACCCAAACTAATAGTGTTAGTATGGGAAATCCACTCAGTTCATGCTTTTCTAACAATTACATGTCCCACGTAGAAAATACAATATTTACACAGGTTGGCAAACCAAAAATATATGTTCGCTACGTAGACGATATTTTTATTTTAGCTAATAACATTAAAGAAATAGAGACACTTAGAGTTTTTCTCAAATGTGGTCCTATCCTTAAGTTTACCTATGAACTTAGCCCCCCCCCCAAAAAAAAACTTCCATTCTTAGACGTCCTCGTTGAATACAACAATAACTCTTTCATTACATCATTATACAAAAAAATCCACCAGCAAAAACTCGTGCCACCTTAACTTCAAAAGCAAATGTCCACTTAGGCACAAAATAGCAGTCATAAAAAAAACTTTCTAAATAGAGCATGCCAGAACTCATCCTCTCGACTACTCTTCCTCAAAGAACTTAATGTTAAACAAACACTAATCAACAACGGCTTCCCTAACCACCTTATAGACCACCAAATTTGACTATTTCTCCCCAAAGCAAGTAATAATGATAGTGAACACACAGCCAAAAATCACATACATTTATTACAAAAACCAAATGCATATTAATTACAAACAAGATGAATCTTCTCTAAGGCATATTATAAAGAAATATACTACTCCAACTGACCTGAATAAAAATTTTAAAAAAAATCAAATTAATTATCTATTATAAAAAATTTAAGACAGCTAACCTTATCCTCAAAAATAACAACATACCAGCTAAGTCAAAATTACAAAGAACGAACATTATCTAAGAGTTC